CTCCTGGGTTCAGGCAATTCTCCTGCCTCAGCCTCCTGAGTAGCTGGGATTACAGGCACGCGCCACCATGCCCAGCTAATTTTTTGTATTTTTAGTAGAGACGGGGTTTCACCATGGTGACCAGGATGGTCTCGATCTCTTGACCTCATGATCCACCCGCCTCGGCCTCCCAAAGTGCTGGGATTACAGGCGTGAGCCACCGCGCCCGGCCGAATGCCAAAATATTTTGTACTTTTTGTACTTTGGGATTTTTTCTTTTTTTTGAGATGGAGTCTTCTAGTGTTGCCCAGGCTGGAGTGCAATGGCACTATCTCGGCTTACTGCAATGTCCACCCCCTGGGTTCATGCGATTCTCATGCCTCAGCCTCCTGAGTAGCTGAGATTACCGCCACACCCAGCTAATTTTTTTGTATTTTTAGTAGAGACGAGGTTTCACTATGTTGGCCAGATTAGTCTCAAAACCCTGACCTTGTGATCCACCTGCCTCGGCCTCCCAAAGTGCTGGGATTACAGGCATGAGCCACCACACTCAGCTTGTACTTTGGGTTTTCTTAACATACATTCTTATTAGTGAATCCCTAATAGGACCAGTCAGATAACCAGCATCACTGTCAAAATCTGGCACTTACTGGCCTAGTTTGTTGTTCTTTCTTGCTAAGAACAACTTGGGTTGAGTGCAGTGGTCAAGAGATCAAGACCATCCTGGCCAACGTAGTGAAATCCGTCTCTACTAAAAATATAAAAAATTAGCTGGGTGTGGTGGCGTGTGTCTGTAGTCCTAGCTGCTTGGGAGGCTGAAGCAGGAGAATTGCTTGAACCTGAGAGGCGGAGGTTGCAGTGAGCCGAGATTGCACCATGCGCTCCAGCCTGGCGCCTGGTGACAGAGCGAGACTCTGTCTCAAAAAAAAAAAGTAATTCTCAGAAATTGAGAATCAAAACCTTTCAAACTTTGTAAGTGGAATTAACATAGCTAAAATATTTAAATGACTTCCAAAAGTCCCCACTCCATGTCTTTCCCACTTCCCCAAATGAGTTCCAGACAAGTAGAAGTTCTCATGGCATCTTTGGTTCTCCTACTCTGGGAGTGGCTGGTGTGAGGCAGAATAATCCCAAGATATTTGCCCCTGGCTTTCCTTTCTATCAGACTTTTTAAAAAAATCTTTTAAGGCTGGTGAAATACATCTGTTAGAATTTTAAAAACTGTTTTCCTGTTACAGATATTTATGGACTGGTAGCTTGCCCCTGTTTGTATCCATGTTACATCTGGAGGAACGACAGAGGTAGTAATGGAGACTCAAAGTAGTTGGAACTCTGCTGAAGTAACATTCAGTAATTTTTCCTTAAAAAAATCCTTGTGGTAAAATAGTCGCAGTAAAAATCCATCAAAGTTAATTTTTATTAAAACCAAAGCGCCAATCTGCCCCCAAAAATTAAAAACAAAAAGACTACTGTTTCAGATGTCCTTCACAGTAAGTAAAACCTTCATGGAGAAAGATCTGTGATCTGATTGGCTAGCATTATTCTCACTCAGAAACATGACACCAGCATGTGAATTATGACAGTAAATTCACATCCAAGATGAATATGTAATAACGTTTATAAAAGGACATCGACTATTAATTTACTTAGGGTTATAAAATACTTTTTAAAATATGTACATGGTTATTTAAAAGGAGGAGCTCAATTTCAATAAGAAATTAAATGGCTGAACTCATGGTCACCATATAATGTTTTGAGACAGTTTTGTCCTTGTCGCCCAGGCTGGAGTGCAATCGTGTGTGATCTTGGCTCACTGCAACCTCCACCTTCCGGGTTCAAGCAATTCTCCTGCCTCAGCCTCCCGAAGTAGCTGGGATTACAGGTGCCCACCACCATATCCAGCTATTTTTTTGATATTTTTAGTTTAGACAGATTTTCACCATGTTGGCTAGGCTGGTCTTGAACTTCTGACCTCAGGTGGTCCATCTGCCTCGGCTTCCCAAAGTGCTGAGATTACAGATGTGAGCTACCATGTCTGGCATGGTAATTTTAATGGTCAATCAGATCACTCAATTTCTCTCATAACAAATACATATAAACCATAAAATGATTAGATCTTCAGTTTAAACCTAAAACCTTTTGTTTGTATGCAGCAACTGACTTTTGGGATTCACATGAATTTGGACCAGAGTTCAGCAAAAGGAGGCATTCCTGTTTTCACTGTCCCTCCTTGGAACTCAAATGTATGTGTCTAAGCACAGGAAGAACATAGGATATTGAAATGCAGTTTCATAAATGGAGCAATCGGCTGTATACTCACCCTTTTGACTATGGAGGTAACCTTTTTGAAAGCATTACTAATCAAGTTATATTACATCTGTACTACTGTGTGGTAGTAAAATATAGTATTAGTAAAGCCAGTTCTTTAGCTTAGAAAAGAAAGTAAAACTACCACGATGAGAGGACATTTTCCTTTCCTTTTTTTTTTTTTTTTTCACATGTTCTATAACAAAAGCCTAGTGAGAACCTTGACTTGTAAACTGTCTCCTAGCATCCTGGAGATGGACTAATATGTGAGATGACCTGCAAACAGATCCTATATAATAATAGTCAGTGAGTACCATTACTAAGGGATGAGGAAAGATATGTGGAGTGTTTTTTT